CCAGAAATTGTGGGATCATCATATAAAATAGTATGGAAACATTACATGCTTTTGGTTTTAGTCTAGGATAATTCAATGGATTAATTAGACAACATGGAGGGACAATAGGTGTTTGAACTACAACTTAACCGAGCATGTCTTAGAAAATAAAAATAAAATTATTACAGAAAAAGGAAACTAGTACTGAGTGTGAAAAACATGGATATTACTTTTGTTGTTGTGATAACTTAACTGATTACAGTAAACAATGAGAAGATATCTAGTGGATTAATCTAAGAGCTCCAGTAGATTAAAGGAACATAAAATTCTAACCAGACATAAGAAAATATGACTTTGTTGGACTTAAAGGCAAAGTTCAGCTAAGAATACTGCATTTTCTCCAACCAGTCTGTGAGTCAATGAATTCATTGAAGGATAGCCTTGAAACATGTTGACTGGCACTGGTTCTACAACCTAAACCTAAACTGGTAATGAAAGGTATGAAATTACCTCCAGAGGTAAAGAAAAAGAGTGATTGATATAAATATCAAGTGATTATAATGTTCTAGCTTCCCTCACTGTAGAAGAAAGCATATTGGAATTCAATTCATTAAGAACATTGATGTAAGGTTAGATTTGCTTCAAATATTTTCACAGTCTATGACCATAAAATCCCTGTGCGTTATACGACAATTACATTATCTCCAGTTACAACAAGAATTATATCACCAAAATGTAAAATAGTCGTATCAGGACTAATTATAAGCAGTATTAGATTAATTGACTGGGGCACGATAGAACCAAAGACTCCAACTTTTCCGGATCGATTTTTAATTGAGAATTCTTGTGGATCTGAATATTAAGGATATCATCATTTGGGTTATGAACGCAACAGATCATGAAATATAACCCACTTCTGGATAGAATATTGCAAGATGTGAAGGTTTACAAGTATTGCTTTCCAATTACAGAATATCCGCGGAACAAAATGCAATAATAAAGCTTACTACATCACTTCCAACTGATCAAGGCCACGTGTTACATGACTTGCTCATATAATACCAAGATACCTTCTCCAGTGCATCTCATGTCGTAAACCTACGTGCGTAATGTCAAATAATGAAAAACACGTAGTTCTTATACATTCTGTTACACCACGATTTTATATTGGCTGGGTTGTTACATGACAAGAAATAGTCACGATCTTCAGTGATCTCTGTCTGAATAACATGAATAAATTTATGCCATAAAAGATGTGTCTGCGTGGTTGAGATTTGAGAATAAACAGGGACAGAAACATGAAAGTCTGTCTGCGTTCAGAAATAACAGGAAGATTTAGAAAGAGCTACATAAACAGGATACTGAATTGAGGACAAGATTAGCTCCTTTGTTTTTTTGTGGGTGCTATTTAGGATGTGAAGCAGGAATGGCTAAGGATGAAGGCATCCCTTGTTGCTCACACATGAAAGGTAAAATATGCTAAAAAGTATTAACAGCAACAATACCGAACAACAAATGGCCAACAGCAAGTGAAAAATACTTAGATAGAATGGAGACAATTTTGAAAATGAAGAAACAAATATAGAATGAAATGACTTCAAATGTAATGAGGTGGTAGTAATTTAGGATGAGGTTTTGGAATTGTTTTGTACAAGATGAAAAATAGAGAAGTCATACAGAGGTTGATTATGTTATATTAAAGTGATTTAAAGCCCCCCCCTCAACCCCATACCATTACAATCCATATTTATACGTCTGTTCATGCTATATCTGATTATTTGTAAAACATTCAAGCAGTGTGGTTTTCTTAGGTATCATGTCGAAAACACATCACTTCTCCTTCCAGGTTTTTTATAATCCCTCTACTTTATGCAGATGAAAGTTTCCCAGAATCCATTTCAACAGTCCATTTACACAAATATCTCTATGTGCTGGTGCAGTGACTTAATTGGTATGTTTTGTATGGAATTTCACGAATACCCATTTTATTCACCAACTACTTGAGACACTTGAATTGGAGATAAGACTGGAAGCTTGATCTTGGTGAACCCATATCCTATTAGCATCGTTTCCAGATGGAGATACTTCTTGATTATTTTGTATTCTGTTATCTGGGACATGTCGGTGGCTTTTGCCAATGAACTTTGAATTTATGGATTCTCACCTGTTAAAGATGCTACACTTTAGACGTACTACAGCTCGGGTACGACTTGTGACAGGTCTCTTTCTGGTTGGTCCTATATCCCCAGTTGATTCAGCTCCCTTTCTTTTCTAATTCCGTTAAGTACAAAGGATATCTTGATTTTGGAAATTATAAATCACCAATCTGAACACATCTGTATGATCTAAATGTATGTATATTTTATGTAAGAGGCATAACACTCCATACATAATGCTAAACAATTTCAGAACGTAGTTCTGATACATTTTGTTCAAGATTTTATAATATAGCATACTCAAACCTCTTTGTTTTGAAAGTGTGTTATTTTTGCAACATTTTAAATGTATGATATACCCATGTAGGCTGCAATAAGTGTCTTCACAGTTTGCACAAATTGTTCAGTCTTGGATTAAGAGCATAAATGCCGTATTTGGTTAGTACATCTGCTTATAGCAGCATTGTTAGTGTTATAATTGAAGATCTCCATTTCTTATTAACAGTTTGTGGCTAGCTGATGTTAATGTTACGCTAGAACAGGGGTTAAAGTTTTATGGCTAATGTGACTTTGTATACTATTAACAAGACTTGAAAAGATTGCAGAAAAGCTTACTTAAGTATTGGTTTCTCCACAAACATTCAATGTTATTTTCCTCTGAGAATCTTGAATACTACCATTATCTGAGAGAATAGCCAGAGAAACAGTCTGCAGAGAAAGTTGTAGTTTGTGCATTAATAGGCCACAGGTATATCTGGTTTATATTCTCTTATTTCCCCCATCATGACAGGGAAATAGCACCGCATCTTGTATGTGTTTTTTAGTAAGATGTTAAGAGAACAAATATCGGCAAACACATGAAGTACACAAGGAGATAATCCTGGAAAGGATTAATTTGTTTTAAAGAATCCAAATACTGTTGGAACAACAAAATAACAAATCCGCTGTCGAAGTCTATATAAGGCACTCTACAAATGTGTTTATTAAGTGGTAAATCTAAAACTGTCCTTAGTCTATATAAGGCACTCTACAAAAGTGTTTATTAAACGGAAAATCTAAAACTGTCCTAAGTCTATATAAGGCACTCTACAAAAGTGTTTATTAAGTGGTAAATCTAAAACTAATCTATATAGAGCACCTCTAAAAATGCACTGAAATATCCTTGTTCAAAAGGACAGTTTTAGATTTTCCGTTTAATAAACACTTTTGTAGAGTACCTTATATAGACATAGGACAGTTTTAGATTTTCCGTTTAATAAACACTTTTGTAGAGTGCCTTATATAGACTTAGGACAGTTTTAGATTTACCACTTAATAAACACATTTGTAGAGTACCTTATATAGACTTAGGACAGTTTTAGATTTACCACTTAATAAACACTTTTGTAGAGTGCCTTATATAGACTTAGGACAGTTTTAGATTTACCACTTAATAAACACTTTTGTAGAGTGCCTTATATAGACTTAGGACAGTTTTAGATTTTCCGTTTAATAAACACTAGTCTAATTTTAAATGTCCCCCGATGGGACAGTGGTAAGTTTCGGACTTACAACGCTTACATCCGGGGTTCGATTCCTCGCGATGTGTACAACAGGTAGCCCAACGTTTGTATTGTTCAGAAAAACAAACCAATTGATTTCTTGTCTCCTTCTTGTGATAGTACATACATACTTTCAAAGACATAACTTCAATACGATATGGGAGTAAATGACGTGACATAAAACATTTGATTACAATGAATTTTATTTCAAACATAGTTCTACAACCGATATTCTAAAAACTGTGTGATTATAGCAACAAGACATGCACATTTCCCATATTTAACTAAATACATTTTGTACAAGCAACTGCATATATACCAGAACCTACTAAAAGATAGCCCTGTATGTTGTACCACTGCTTTAAAGGTAGGATTCCTGAAACGAAGGTTCATTTTACACCACGTTCATTATACCTGTTAGCGCTAGCGAAGTTAGCCTTGTTTCTGGAATCCAAGTCTTCTACATACTATTTAAAATAT